CTCACAGTATCAGGGGATATGATAGGTTGCTGAGAGGCATTTGACTTTTTTGCTGCTAAAGATGTTAGTGAAGCATTGAGAATGGAACAAGAACAGCTTGGATTTAGAATGGTCCAAGTGTGGCTGTGAAGTCCTCCATATTTGGCTCTGCTTTACAGGCATCCTGCAGAGTCTTCTTCCTGCTTCCTTGCAGTAGTACTGACGGCTCTGTTGCAGCATCTCCCCAGAAAGTGCTGTGCCTCTGGCACAGGGGCTGTTGCCCACCAGCAGGGAGCCAGCACCCATTAGCTGCATGGCCAGGGGGAAAGGTGGTCAGCTCTGGAAAAAGGAGCTGTGCACATGTAAAGCTGTGCAAAATGTGCTCCCCTGAGGCTGTCTCATAGTATGGCTTAGATATGGAGACTACCACTCCAGCTAGCTAGTATCCTCCAGGTTTTCCTGTAAGCCTAGAAGAATTGGAGTAACGTTTCTTTCTGGGGGTAGAGTGTCTGGGTTTTATTAAGAAAGCTTGCAGGGATCCCCCAAGGATGCTTTGACCTCTCTGTCCCGGCTCACAGTCCTTCATGAAAGGTCCTTAGAGCACTTCCTGCTGATGTTTTCCTGTGGCATGACTGGTCTCCTGCTGTCCAGCATCTTGGCTGACTCTTGCTCTGTAAAGGCTCAAGCTCAGGCACTGATCCCATTCTGCTTTTTCCCAAGCACCATTTTCCCAGGTCTCCTGTGAGGAGTCAACCTGTCTAAAAGCATCTGTCCTCTCAGGGGGTCTGAGAAACTCCAGACTGACATTTGCCAGTTACTTATCTGCTCCTTTGAACACTTCCTCCTTATTAGACATTTTTGAAGAAAACACATGACCTTAAGTGTGAATGCTTCAGGAGGCATGGGTTCACGCCTGCTCTTTGTGATCAGACTGACTCATTGTGTGTCTCAGCAGCTGTGGACAACCTCACCACCTTCCACTGAGACCTACATAGATGGAGCCCAGCTCTCCTCTCGGCTCAGCTGCAAATGGTGGTGAGAGAACAAGACTTTGATATTCCTCAGCGAATGCTTTCTGAGCTGTAGGCATTAAAAAAAAAAAAAAAAAAAAAAAGCCCCAAGAAGAAAACAGCCTGTCCCAAAAAAGACCACAACTAGAACCTCAGTTAAATTCAAAAGAGGATGCTTTGGTTATTTCCTTCCCTGGAGAAAGGAGAAGCATTTTCTTCAGGCTTGGATGACTCACCATGCCTATCTAAAAACCACTGGGATTTTTGGGGGGCAATTTTAGTGGAGCTCGTGACTGGAGCTGAAATTCATCCAGAGACACTGTGCTTCAGGAAAGGCATCAGCCAGCTCTCATCAGGGGCCTGCCTAACGCCACCTCTCAGGGATGAATTGTGGCAAGTTTCTGTTTGCAGCTACTGACCCTCTGCTCCAGTTGGCACATTCAGACAGCAGATCAGAGCAGAGGCAGCACGTGTGCTTCATGCAGGGCCGACTTACCTGTCCTTGGCAGCTCCCGCTGGAGGAGCAGGATCCCTGAGGTCTTAGCATCCTACCGCTGCTCAGTTTAGGGCTGAGACACAGATTCAGCACCTTCACTTCCTGTGCTAGCCTGAAACGCCATGGGCATGTCCTGAACAATCTATCCTCGAAGAACAGGGCTGAGGGATGGAGATGTGGTGTCCCAGAGGTGTGTAGATCAGAAATTCCTGACTGCTCAGCAAAGGATGAAAGCTCAGTGAGGTGGGACCCTTGATGACTGTTGCCAATGCCTTGTGCACAGTCAACAGAAACTGGTCCAGTGTGGTGGCATGAGATCTGAGGGGTGAGGACTGCCATGTCCAAGCTAACGCAGCCTGACAAATATTATACAAAATTCACCAGAGAGGCAAATGCAGCATCCCCAGCTCCCAACCAAGAACCACAACCCAGAGAAGTGGGCATGATCAGACGTGTTCAAACACGCAGAAGGTGCTGCAAGAGTGGTGAATGGACGGGCAAGAACATGCTGCCACTCTGCCCAGAGCGTAATCGGACTGAAAAACAGTGTGAATGTGGCTCATGAGAAATGTATGTACAGCTGGGCTGATTTAAGGGGATTGATGCTCTGAGCAAGCGTCACACTCTCCAGCAGTCACAAACACCAGATGCATCAAAGGTGGTGATTAAAGCTCTCTGAGGGAAGCAATTATGAAATATGCTGACCCGGATGCAGATTTCTTTGCCCTTGAGCTGAGGGAGTGGGCTTAAGCAGAAGTTTTATATCCCTTCCAATCTTGCTTGTACTTAATCCTCGCTAATGCAGCTTGGAAAGCACCATGAACGTTAGTCCAGCCCTTCTCAGGGCTCTCAGTTTTGGCGAATGATGACTTCTGCAAGGTTTGGGTGAGTGGCAGATTGAAAGAAGAAAAGGAGAGCATATGTTCTCTCTTGATTTTTTTTTTTTTCCCTGGGTTTTTCCTGTCTCTAAGGAAGGACAACAGCAGAGTAATACTCTTAAAAGCCAGCTCTGACCTCACAGCATCTGTATTCTCCCCCCCTCTTGCTTTCACTTTTTAATATCTCTTGTTTGGATGAAATATCATAAATTTATCCTTAAGCCTGGATCTGGAGACTCTGAACTACTTTACCTTTACACATCCTTATATTGCTCTGATGACCTAAATAGATGTTAGGTTCAGCTGTTCCCATGCACAAGCCAGTATCTGTAATTCTCATCAGCAGTGCTGAACACTTCTGAAAATTAAGTTATCCCTTTCAGATGCCAAGACAAAGGTCTTGCAGGCTCCACTTAGGCACCTAACTCATAAATGCTGCCCTGTACACTGGAAGACCATTAATTTAACCATTAATTTCAGTCTCTTATAGAATGATGCAGAGGGTGCTGTGGACTGGACTCTTCCTCATTGCTTTACAGTAAGGTACAGGCAAATACAGACCCTTGGAAAATGTATTTGCTGGCAGGAAACCTCAGTGCAGCAGATGTCTGTGAAGCCTCGAAGAACAGGGCTGAGGGATGGAGATGTGGTGTCCCAGAGGTGTGTAGATCAGAAATTCCTGACTACTCAGGAACTGGACTGCTCTGTCCATTTTATTTTCCATTTCATTCATCTGTGAGTGAGATTTGGCACCAGCTAGTCGTTTAGCCATTTTATCCCTTCACATTCATCTGGTTAGGCTGACTTTTTGTCTGGCTCCATAAGCTACTCCTGTCCAGGCTGTTGCAGACTGAGAGCCTTTTCTTCTGTGCCCTGGGTCCTTTTCTAGCCCTTCCTGCCCCACCTCCTGCAAATGAATACAGCACTTTAGAAGCAGGGGAGACATGGAGGCTTCCTTCAGGCTTGTATCATCATGCTCATGGTAGTCGTATTTGTGCTAGAAAGCCCTTCATCTGTTTCATTATATTTTTTCCAAAGTATCTGGCAGGCTAGTGTTAGCAGGTCTGTCAAAGTACCAGCTGGAGCCTTAGTGATGGATATATTTATTTACCATTCACTGGTCCAACATTTCAAGACCCCTGTGTAAAATCTACTGCCCACTTACTTCAGAGCCGTGTTGGACTAAATCCTGCAGAACTGGTGCAATGCAGAAAGGTGGGAGAAGAAATGGGCGTAAAAACCAGGAAAACCCCGATCAAAACAGTTCTAGGGCATGGGGCAAGATAGTTATTTTTCAATATGCTCTTGGAATAAAATGTAATCATTGGAGAGCTGGCCTTGGGCAAATGTATGGTGTGTGATTCCATCTATCTCTGATTAAAGAGCCTTGACCATGTGTTCCTGTGAATATGTGTCTCCTGTACTTTGAATTTCTGTTTGAAGCTGACGCTTACCCTAAGGTATTTGGTGGAAGTGCATAAAAGTTATTATTTTCCCGGGGGGCAGAATGTTCCATCTGGCTTTTATTTTTTTAAAGAGTATTTTTGTAAGCTAAGGCTTTTGCCAATGTGAACCATGCAATGACTTGCTATGCCGTAACAACTGGCTGCCTTAAACATAGGGTATAAATATAAAGACCACTGAAGAATTTATAGAGTTAATAATTTATTTCATCTGTCACTTCAGACAGAAGAATTACAGGCTCCGTCTTGCCCAGCTAGGAAGAAACTTAATGCTGGCTGCAGACAGTTTCTGCATTACAGTGTGTGCTTTATCTTGGAGATTTGATTTGTCCCCACCTGTTCAGAAAACTAATTTTAATCTTAGTCCTGCAGCCTTTCTCTTCTCTGAGAAACTGGACCTTTCCTGTGTCAAACTGTTTTTTATGAGTAGAAAGCAGTGGAAAGGTGCTGGTGGCACTGGGATGCCTATCCATCTGTCTATCCATCCCCACCATGTGCTCCCCTGCTAGTCAGGGAGACCACCCTGTGCTCCCTCCCTACCTCCTGGCCATGGAGGCAGGTTTGACTTACATGATATGGTCATAAAACCAGGTAGGGCTATTGTCCTGATCTAGATGGTGGTGGTCAGGTATGGGCTGCCCAACACAGACCTTCAGACAGCACTTGCCACACGTTTGCTTACCTGACTATCCTTTTTCCCATTTTTGATCTTCCTTGTTATAGCCCTTGCTCCTCCCTCCTCTGCCTCATTTATGGTTGGTTTTTCCATGGATCCCAGTTTTGTGACATCCATACTCAACTTTGCTATTTCTGATACTATTCCCTAGCCACTTTTAACCCTAAATGGTATTACTGAGATGGTTGCCCAGTGCTGCTGGCCTTAAAGCAGGTAAGGCAGCTGAAGGTGTGAGAGGCTGCATGCTCTAACATCACAGCTTAATACTGAAATGCTTGGTTCCTTAGACCAAGAGGTGAGCTCTTCAAAAGCACTCTGAGTTGGCACATGTCTGCTCTGGCTGATGTTGGTAGTGATAGAGTTAAATGAACACTTTGAAAATCCTACCTGAAGGCCCACCTGAAGGGATTTCATGTTTCTGCTGTTTGGTTTTTTTTTTGTTTTTTTTTTTTTTTTTCACTAGAAGGTAGATAAGCTTTGTTTATTTTCACTCTACAGGCAGAAGCACTTATGTGGGATAATGATGCATTAGCTCACGCCCAGACTGTTGCCAAGGCCAAATATGAATTTTTATTTGGCTTGGATCAAGAGAAGCCTTCAGAAAGGGGTAAGCACTATTTATTACTATTATGTGCAAAAAAAAAAAAAAATTTCTTGAGTGACTCAGGAAAGTTTTGCAGAAGCTGCTCCCTAATGACCCCACGAGGCCTCACTCACTGTGCTACACCGCCCTTCACTGGACCACAGTGCAAGTACCAGACCAAAGCAGCCTGCTGGTTTGGCCCCAGAAAATGAGAGCAGTTCTCTTTCTTATGCCCCCACCTTTCTCTTTGGCTCACCTGGACCACCTCAGTGTGAACAGCTGGGACTTATGTGCTGGAGACATGTCGGCGGAAGGAGGCCCAACACTTCTCTGCAGTGGAGTCGTTTCAGCCACGTGTTCAGCAACTGCACATGCTGAAACATGACCATCTCTGCCTGGAGGTCCTTCCAGGAGTGCTCTTTGTGGTCTGCAAACTGCTCTTCCTATAGCTACTGGTAGATAAGATTTTAATTTTGATACTTGAGGTGGTACCCGAATGGCTCTGTCTTCTGTGGTTAGTAATTGAAGAAATCCAGGTGCAGTATCTAATGGTATGCCTAAGGATCAGTCTTGTTTCTGTTGTTTTGTTTTTTGTTTTTGTTTTTTTGTAAATACAGGGCATTTTCTACCTTTTCACAACCCAAGCTTAGAAGAAAAGAAATGTAGTTACTATACCTATTTCTCTTGCAGTGTTGTAATTATCAACAATCCCTGCCCTCTTTGCAAAAGTATTTCCTCAGGCTGTTTTCCTTGCACCTTGATCCTTTCTAATTGCAAACTTTCTGGAATGTCACTTTTAATTAAAGAAGACTCCCTTCTTGCCAGAGAAGGGCAGCAGTTTGTACAGAAACAAGCTGTGTAGGCGCCTTCACTTTAGCAAGGAAAGAAAAAAAAAAAAAAAAAAAGCGCAGAACTGAAATCTGGAAAGTGAGTAAACAGTTTCTCCATGGATTTTCTAAAGTTCAGTCTTCCACTTGAGAAATCCTAATTGCAGAGTGGAGGGGCAAAAAACCAAAACAACCAAAATGTCCTCATTTAGGAATTTTAAAAACTTTTACAAATTGCCACAAAATGTGTATTGGATTATTACATGAATCATGGTGACCTCATTTCTTGTTTGGAGAGACACAGTGTGAGAGCACTGTCAGCAGGCATTAGTACATTTCCGGAGATTGGCATTAAATAAAGTGTGCTGTGTCTAATAAATCCAAGTGAATCTATTGTTATTACTAACCAAAACAATTATCAAATGTGATGGGTATTCTGAGCTGACTGAGTAATGAGCCCTAAAGTACAGGGTGGCAATTAATAAGCCAGATACACTGGCTTATGTGTGTACTTTTCTGTATTTTTCCTGTGCTGCTTCTTGTCTTGTTTCTAAATCTCCTTCTATTCCTTTATGAATCAGATACTATCATTAGGGACTAACAGTTAGTGAAATGGAAGTGACTTCAAGGGAGAGTTTCCAAATATTTAACTATGGTTAACGTGTAACATTTGTGAATTGTACCCGAAAACTGGGTGACATTGTGCCTACCCAGACTGGCTTCATGCTGTTAAATGCATCCTCCTTCTCCACTAGGAAGGTGTTTGAATGTGATGGGTAAATGAGAGTGGTGCTGCCTTTTCTACTTTTTTTCTTTCAAGTGAGCAGGTTTTAACTGCTTATTAGTTGGAGATGAATGAGGATGGGGTGACTGAAGGCACAGTAGTACAAACCCAGGGCTCTGTGCACCAAGTTGTGGCTTCCTTTGATTTGACATATGTTGAATATGTCATGACATACATTTTGGGGGGAAGCAGCTATGCCTGAAAGTCTCTCTGTTCTTCTCTGTGTTAGATGGGGAGGGAAAAAACACCACCAAAAATCCAAACAAACCTGCTACTTTCTAAAGTTGCCTTTAAAAGAAGGAAGACATGCTTTTCATGGGACAAAGTATGAAAGATTTCAAGCAAAGGAGTGATGGGGGCAGGGCCAGGAGAAGTACTGGTGTTTAAACTTGATCAAGAGGACAGCTTGTCACATTGGGCAGTAAAGCTGAACTTTAATTCTAACCCAAAGCAGTTTACCCGTGCCTTGTCTGGACTCAGAAACTGAGAAGGCAACACATACGCTACTGAACAGCTTAATTACTTCTGCCTCCCAGTCTGACCTTTCCCCTTTGGCCACAACCATATTATTGGGAAGCCCTGCTGGATGCTGTAGAGGCTGTACGTTTTTTAACTGGGTACTAAAACACTTGCATCAGACAAGCCAATTCACTAAGAAGGAAGAATAATTGGGGGCAACTGCAGCAAACGCTTCTGTTAGCCTAGATGAGAGACAGCAGACTTTGTTTATTAAGTTGCCGTGCGGATTTTTATCTTCCAGGTTGAAGCTTGTGGTCATTTTCACAGGTGAGAGAAGTGAAGGAGTTAGATGCTTGTAGAAGAGATGTTTCACTGGTGATGCTCAAATGCTAATAAAGCTGCTGCATTAAAAACAACTCCTCCTCATTTCTCTTCTTTGCTGCCCTCAGTGTGGTTTTATCTGGGATATTTGTGATCCTTGATGTAGCCATGCACTCTTGTCTTTACAGTGTGATGCCTCTTGTCTGGCTCCTCTCCTCTCTGTCTGTTGCCCATCCTCCTGCCCCAGATGCATCACCCAGAGCAGAGGCAGGTCCAGGGCCCCCAGGGCCCTCATCGCACCTGGGGAGGGCTGGGGGCCACATCTCCCTGCAGACCCCTGTTTGTGGGGCTGCTCTTTGCCTCTGAGGGAGCGGGGAGGATGCACCATGTGCGGCCACGCACCCCTGCGCTGCCTGGCCGCACTCCTTGGTGAAACCCTAGCCTTCTGCCTTCCAGCAAAAGAAAATGTTTTTTAAACACTGGATTTGGCTGAGTTGGACAAGATATCTTCTGAGCTCCACTGACATAAAGGGTGCTTGTTGTGTATGGAAACATAGCCTCCTCTGAACCAGCCATGGAAACAGTGATCTCTGTTGAGCAGCCTTATCTTTAGGCTTGGGCTCAATACAGAGTACTGACTTTTATGACTTTGCAGTTAATACATATAAATAGAAAAAGAAAAAGGAAGTCTTGACAACATGACTTTGTCCTAAAAAGTGCTTCCTTGGGGAAAAAAGAGGGGGATGCTACAAAATAATTGCCTAAGTAAACATGCAAGTCAAGTACCCCATAATTCCTGTTATATGAGAAAATAAATCCAAGACAGTTGTTAGGAAAAAAATAGTTTCTTAACACTCATACAGTCTTTTCTCTGATGCTTCTAGGAGGAGAAAGCTTTCACCCCTTCTGTGTAACAGAGGGTTTAATCTCATCCTTCACAAAAAAGCCCTGTACAAATAGTCCCCTGGTTGCTATGCAAATCTAGTCTTTCCCAACAGCTGCTGAAAGAAGCCTGGTTTTGAATTCCTGGTGAAACAAATAGCTTTTTGGAAAGCCTGTCACTTGCTGTTTTGTGTACAGTGAGGTGTCATGAGGCAACTGAGCTTATTTAACAGCTTGCTTCTGCCAGAAGAGATGGTCCCAGCCGCACGCTGCCACAGACTGTCTCATGCTCATAGTTCTTGTGCTCATCAGTTTTCTTAGCAAACTCAAGCCAGCAAAAACTAAGTAACAGAAAACCCCAAAACAATGCCAACAAAACAATTCTAAAGAAAAGGTTTACTTTGTCCTGGCAACGTGTGCTGAATCACCTCTGCAAGGGGTCAGAAAGAAAACAAAATGTGTACTTTAACCCACGCAACATACCCATTCCTGAACCTGAATCATCGAAATGATTGCTTTTGCTGTAGAATTTCTTCTGACTTGTTTCAAAAGCAAAGGAAGCACACAATGTCGGCTTTTTTTTTTTGTACAAGCAAAGCCTTTTTGTAGTCCTGTGATGCAGATTTCAACAGCCTTAAGAAAATTACCCCAGTAACTTTCTGTAAAATGATTATCACTAACTTACTATGCTGTCCTTTGCTCTTCTGCCTCGCTTGCTTTCTCTCTGTCACTTCAAGTCATGTGTGTCCAACTCTGCTGCATCCTCCTTGCATTGCACAGATGTGGCACCTTCCTGATACTCACTCTAAAAACTGCCCTTAGACCACAGTTACTCACATGTTGCATTGTTCTCACTGTTGCGCAGATTGCTGACTATAGTCTTTGCCAGTGCTTCAGCTGCATTGCTTTCCATTTCGATGCACCACCCTTTGTCATGTTTTTACCTTGTGTTCTTTCCATCTCCAGGCAGTCCTGAAAGTCTGGGCTTCCTGGTCTGGTAACTTCCTCTGCAGCTCTGCTCTCCTGAAAAGGTGCAAAACTGCATTTTCTGAGGGTTGAAGGACTGCTTGATTTTCACATTCATGTTGTTTAATTATGGTGGACAGAGTCTGTGAGGATAGGTATATCAGATGTACATTTAAGGGTATGTCCTGCAACATTCACCAGGAACACAAGCAAGGCTGGAATCCAGAAAGCTCAGACCTGTGGTGCTGGCCCCCCATCCCCTCATTTAATTAAAATTTTATCATCCTGTTGTGTATACTTGACTCTGTCAGCTTTTGTTGTTGTTGTTTTTGGTGTCCCACTGCATTTTCTGACACACTGAAGACCCACAGGAGTTTTTAAATAGTAGTGTGTAATCCGTATGTTTTTTCATAGATATCCCTGATGTTTGGTGTTGCTGGTTGGCAATGATGCAAATTGAAGATTAACTTTTAAAATTTATGTCTCCAGAGGTAGTGTATTAAAAGGTACGTTTCCAGTTGAGTTTGTGGACTCTAAGAAGTGATTACCTGTCTGGCACCAGCACACTGACTGGCCGTGCTGATGGCTCCACTTTTACTCCAGGGTGGAGTAAACCTCTCCTTGGAAGGTGATTTTGAACAACTGCTTGGATGCTCTGAGAAGCAGCATGCTCTTACAGTGCTGTCAGAAGAGCACATCTGACTCTGCATATGGAAAAACTAAATGCCAGTGAAGAAGGTCAGGTTGCACTGTTACTCTGCATCTTGACTGTGTAAGGTGGAGCTGTCTTGCTGTCTCTCCCTGTGAAATTCTGAGTCCTGCTTTCCAGGGCTAGGCAAAGCCAGGGCATGCTCCACAGCTATCAGGTGTAGTGTGATGGATGTCTGGGTTTCCAGTCCCAGAGAAAGGAAAACTAAAGGGATGTGAGGCCTTATGTTAAGTCCCTTGCTCTACAGGAGGAAATTGGATGTCTTGTGACCTGCACTTGAAAGCTGGATAGTTCAAGTTATTATAACCTACAGCTGCAGGGAGGAGATTACCACATTGTCAACTTGGTAAACAATAGAATTGTTTGAATGCCAAGGGTTTATTAAAAATAATTGTTAAAACATGGGCTGTTTGTTTATTGTTTTTTAAAGGTACAGAAATAAGCACTCAGAAGGTAGGAAATGACAGAGTTAAGGCAGTAATTACCTCCCTGTCTGTGGGCTGTCAGCCGAAGCTGAGAGCCATGCTGATGTGAGTGCACAAATATTTGGGGGCCTGGTGATGCTGGCAGCCTGTTGGTGGTGTCTGGCTGCTTCAGATGCTCTGAGCACATGTATCACAGGCTGATCTGGGCTGAAGCTGGCAGGGCTCAGAAACACCTTCCTGGAGGCGGTCAGGCAGACGGAAAACAGTGCATCCAGGTCAGTGGGCACAACAGGAGAGCCTCAGCTAGCCGACTTGGCTGGCTGTAAGCAGGTGCGGCGGGGTACAGCTGCATTTTTTTCTTGTCACTGTGGGCTCCTCTCCTTGGTTTCAGCACCATCACCTGGCGAGACAGGCAGCACACCAGTGCAAGCCCTCTATCACGCTGTAACCTTGATTCATCTCTGAAGCTTACTGAAGGAAAAGATGCATGTTTTCCTGCTGCTGGAGATGGCTTGATAATGAATATAGAGAAGGCATTTAACTAAAATTATGTGTGTAGATGCAGTTCTGGTTGGTATTGCACTGAAGAAGTGTAACACAGGGTACATCAAGTATTTTTGCTGTTCACAGTTCACTGCTTTAACAAGTGTCTCCTGACCCCCACTTTTTTTCTTTAGCTCTGTTGAGCTTCCTGAAGAAGGGAAGCTCATTCACTGTGCAAGCTTGATGAAAAGTTACCATGCAATGCCCAGCTGCCCCTTTAGCAGCAAATACTCCGATCCTGGGAGTTGCACATGTCCCTCTGTGCCCTATTTTTGTCTTAGCTAAGTGTGTAACTCAATATCCAGCTCAGGGGGTTCTTTGACAACTGTTCAGCAAGCTTTCTCTTAGCCTGGCTAATTGGTCCCCAAACTCTGAAATGCAGTAAAGGACATCCTTTCCTGCAGATGTGCCTAGTTTCTTCAGCAGCTGCTGCAAAGATCTAGAGTTTCTGAAATCTGTGAGTAGTGGTGTGGGGTTTTTTAAGCCATTGTTGCTTGCTCAAAGTCTGGCAATATACTTTTTATCTGAAGATCCCTTTCTATTTGAAGGACTTTTTGAGGGCTTTAAATAGGTTGTTTAAAAATACAGTATTTTAAATATGTATCATTAAGTACAATTGGATTCAGAGAGGCTGTAAAGTCTTTGTAGATGTTGAAAATGTCAAAGCAGCTGTGGGCTGTCACTGCTCCAGAAGTTTGCTCTTTCAGCTGAAAGCTCCTAGGGAGCTTTTAAAGTAAGTCTTGCTATCACTGCATATATCTACACTTGGAAGTTCACCTGTTAGCCACTTCCTTTCTAAATCACATCAGTGGAAAAACAGAAAATTTAATATTCTTTTTGGGTCTGCCTTTTGAATTTTGCGTTTAAGACTTTTCCAAAAATAAGTCTTAAGCCAAAGCTTGGAGATTCTTGCAGCTACATCATTCCAGGGGGTGGGGCTTTAAAGAAGAAAAGTGCATTAAATGTAGTAAGACTCACCCACACATTTACATCAGGATAAGGAGCCCAGATACTCCCTTTGTATTCCCTCCTGTTTCTCCTCATTCTAGCAGCTGTTTCACTCTAACCTTTTGCTTTCCAGGGTAATGGCTCTTGGGACCAAGCTATCTCACTGACCATCTGTGGCCCATACAGCAATTTGTAGTGGATAGTTGTCACACTAAACCCTCTCAGCATGTGCTGCATGTTAGTTTTGGGCTTTGTCCTGTTCTGTGCTCACTGTAGGCCTGTGAGCTGCTGTGGCAAGGTGCCATCCTTCCCACAGCCAGGGAGAAGGTGTGGGGGCTCCTTGGAGGACTCTTCGTTCAGTGCAGCTGGGGTTATGCAACTGCTCCCAAACGCTGTTTATCACTGGGAAATAGTCAAAATCTGTGGGGAAAAAAATACACAACCGAGTCACAGCATTGATTACCTAAGGCCTTCCATCAGGAACAAAGTTAGGAGGTTTGCAGTTGTAAAAAAGCCACACACATCCTCAAACAGACACACAGTGACCCAGGTATTTTACATGCTGTCTGGTCATTGCTTTCTTAATGGACAAGATTTACATTCTAAACCTAGCAGCTTTTCTCACACTGTTTTTCAAGCCATGGCAACTCAGGCATCATATCACCACTTGACTCCAGGTGCTGGGACTTGGCTAGCAGAGAGAGTTGTGATGAATTTACCTAGTGTGGGCATGGCTGTCCTGTGGCAGACTGAAGGTTCACCTAACACAGCCCAAAACCTCCAGAACTTGGGGAACTATGCAAGAGCAGCAGTGAGTAGTACTTCTCTGATAACCTCTTCCAGTCTGCTGCAAGCCATGGGTACAGGATTTCCTGAGTGACACGATGCCCCTGGGTGCTTGCAGAGGGATTATTTTCTTCCCTGAACTGGTCAGTTTAATTTCTGGGTAACCTCGAACTGCCAGCTGCCACACCACTGCCTGACTGATCACGTACAGTAAGTGCAAGTCACATGCTTCCTGTGCACGCTACAGGGTCTGCATCAAACCTGCTGCTGATGGCAGCAGGGACACCCTCCAGTCATCAATTTTTGGGGTGAGGGATCTCAGCCAACACAGTCACTTTTTCTGTGTAGGCTCTGCCATATCTCTGGTCCCCTTCACCTTCCCTGCATGTTTGCTAAGGCAGCAGAGGCACTGAACCAGGGCTTATTTTCTAGGCAGCTCTCCCCTACCTCTTCCCCCTGCCTTCACTCAACTTCCCCATCTCCACCAACTTGTTGTTTTTACATAATGCTGATGTAACATTGCAAGGATGAAGGCCTGGCTCCACTTCCCCCTGGCAAGCAAACTACCCAAAAGCCTGAAGTGGCTTCAAGCTGCAGAAAACCCTGCACCCAGTCTGGTGCAGATGTTTGCCAGTCCAGTTACAAAAGCATGGTGTTTGCATTATGCTGATCCCCTGGCTTTGGCCAACGAAGGACCTCCGCCGGCCAGGCAGGGCCTATCACAGCACGAATGACATCATTTGGAAAAAGGGCTGCTGCGCAAAGCTGCCAGTGATTATGCAGCGTCCCTCCCCTCTCATAGGGGGAGGCCACTCCATCTTGGCGTGTGCAGGCACTGCTCTATAAATCAGAATAGTTTTAGTTGCCACAGAAGTTATAATTCGAGGAAGTGCAGGATGAGGAGACATGTGTGATCCCCACTCTCTGGCAGACTGCAATAATGATATGCTATAGATCCTGTGATTTGTTTGTTAAGCTCTATCACCTAGAGATTTGTTTCCTCTTAATACATGCATTTCTTTAACTTGCCTTGATTAGCCTTTTACAAATAATGGCCAGAAATGCTGATACCAAGAAAGCGTAACTGGTGTGACACTGCATACAGGCCAACCCATGTGCTGCTTGTGCTCAGCGCAAGGAGCTGCAGAGAAATAAAATGCAAGATGACTGGTCTGCTTTGTGAAAACTTCCAGCTCTGTAATGCCAAAACACTGTCAGGCACCCCATGGTCTGAATCCGGCACACGACTCTCAGCATTGCCATTCTGCCCATTTCTTCCCTTACGGATGCAGTTAAAATAAACAGCAGCTAAGCACAGACATCTCCCTGGCATACTGTCAGGCAGCCTTGCTGGAGGAAATTTTTCCCCCCCCCTGCAAGCTGCCAAGGTGGACTCCTTAGCTCCTGCGATAGACTGAATGAGACTGCAGTTCCCCCATCAGTTTCATAATACTCAGAAAGCATCCATTTACATCATTGTGTGCAGTGCAGGGCAGCAGCTGCCAGGAAATTTGAAACTATTTTGATTCCAGTTGACTAGAACAGCAGCAATTGAATTAGCTGATATCGCTATAGATAAACTGATGATCTGTGCATTTTATTTCTTTGACCAATGGGTAACTGCTGGAGCTACAGTAACCTCTGTGAGTAAGGAGACTGTTCAAGCAAATATATCTAATTTCTCGAGCTAGCCTATATATATATATATATATACTGTATAGAGAGAGACACTCACACCATTCTTTTGTAAAATGTACCTGTAAACAAAATGTCTGTCTATGCTTGTAACTTGTGTTTTGTTTCCTAGAATTTCCTTTTATTATGCTGTAGACAAGCTTGCTTGACATGGAATGGTTATTTACCTATGAAATATCATATCTATGCCTGATTTAAATCATGAATTCTTTCAACGTATAGTCATCAGAAAGGCTGCCAACTGCTGTTAGGTTATATTTGCCCGGTCTGTTTTCTAGCCACTCACCCCCTTTCTATTTTAGCTTTTTCTCTCTCAGTTTATTTTTTTTTTTTTTCTCTTTGTTGAAAGAAACCACCTTCAATGCAAAGTAGAAATTGGTGTTACCTGAGAGTGTGTGTCCTTTCTTTGTTTGTTTGGTGATGGATATTTTTTTTCCCTGCTCTTCTTCAGTGCGGTCCTTAAATTTTGTTGGTGCCTTTCTAGCCTTGTTTGTAATGCAGTCATATTGGGGGATGGGGTTGGACAGGATATACCAGTAGCTGCAGCAAGACATGATGCTGTGGTGGTGGATGGGAATAAGGGAGGAGTTTCCCTTAAAGAGCTCGAGCTCCTCTAAACTCTGGTACCTGAAGTACCTCTCTGAGCAAAGGGGAAGGCTTTGCACCTTTTAGGAGTGAGGGGCAATTGGCGGTGGTTTACCGCAAGGAGGGGAGAGGTTGGCAGTTGTGAACGGTGGTAACAAAAGTAATGGGGACAGACTGCTGCTTTAGTGCCATATCTGATTTTTTTTTTCAGTCAGGCAGTGAATTAGGCGATGTTGCTGCAGGATGCTGTGAAGGCGAGAATCCTGCTGACTGGTGCTTGCATAAGATAGCAGCAGCAGCCCTTTCAGAGCAGGGCTGCTGGAACCTTGCTGTAGAAAAGGCCTTAAATTTCTACTGTGAAAGTGCTCCTCTCTTGTCCAGATGAAACAGCTTGCAAGCATGGCAGAGAGGAGTATCTGTGTGCATGCTCCCTCATCCTGCACGTCTCTCTGTGCCCGTATATGCGTGTGCTCTGTATGTGTACCTCTTCTGGAGTTTGCTGGCCTTGCCAGAGGGTAAAGGTTGCTTCCACGCATCAGTGCATTTAGCATTCACCCCCAGAAATAAGGCCACCTCTGTTTCCCTCATGTGGGTCCAGAAGCTAAGAGCAATTACTGGAGACGAGCCGGGCTGCTTGGCAGGGTTTGTGTGCTGCGCCTCATCACGGCTTGGCCTCCAGCACACATTGGCTGCATACCAGCCCCATGGCGGGCTGGGGGAACCATGATCTGGCCTTCCTTCCAATGAGTCAGGGGGTGCATGGATCGGAAGGAGGCGCGGGGGGTCCCAGCTCCTGGGACACTCTCCATTGCTTTCCTTCGGGATGTGGCCAGAGCATGCGGCCCAGGCAGTGGCATGGCCAAGCGCTGCCCCGCGGCGGCATGAGGCAATCCCAACTCAGGCACCTCCAGTTTGCAGGTCTGCAAGCTGAGAGCTGCTGTAGGTGGGTCCGCTGAGAAAGGTTTATGTTAGCAGCTATAAGGGCAGGCTCCCTGTTGGCAGTTCTCTCTTAAACAACCCCATCTCTGGACATGCGCTGAGAGAGCAGCAAGCACTAATGCCGCTGCATTAGACTAGACGAGAACTGCAGGGTGGGAGTCGGGGCCTTTTGCTGTCTTGGGCTGGTGCTGGTGCAGGTGTAGGGATCTTGCAGCCACACAGCATTGTTCTCATCCATGAGTCCGTCCCGGTGGAAGTGTTTCCCCGTGGTAGCCTGGCGCCTGTGCCATGAAGTGAGTGGCCTTGGGGTGCATCCAAGCACTGCGTGGCTGAATTATGTGCAAAGGGTGTTTGTCTGGGGCTTCAGTTATGTAGAAAAAGCACTGTGCTTGGAAGCACTCGCATGAGGAGAGGGACCTTGCTTTCTTCTTCAGATGCTCCCAGTGCACCCACACCTGTGTGTTGGAAACCCTGCCGTGAAGGCGGGCTGGTGATGCAGAAGTGGACAGGGCATCCATACTCCTCACAGATCCCTGGGACCCTGCAGCAGAGAAAAGGGCCCTGTTTTGTCCAGTCACTGTCCTCAACAGCAATCAAGTCATCTGGGTGAAACCTGACCCACTGAAGTTTTATTATGGAGTAATGAAATCAACAGCATGGAGATACCTGGAGAACTGGCTGTGGTTTGGCACGGTTTGAGTCTGTCACTTTGATCCTGCAGCACGTGTAATTTGTGGTATTTACCCTGTGGCTAGGTATACTGTGAGCTGGCAGGTGTGAGCTGCCGCTCATCTTTACAAACTGCTGGCAGATAGATAGCCCCATTAGTGTGGTGCTGAGCTGGTGTTAAATTGTCCTCCCTTTCAACTTGAACTCAGCCTATCATTACCCAGGCTACATGGCTTCCTCATCAGAAATGGCTTGTGGCCAGCCTGCTTGGAGTGGAGATGCGGATCGGTTTGCAATGCAGCACCTAGAGGTGCACGTCGAACAGGGCAAAGAGTCCAAATGCAAGTTGTTGTCTGGTTTCAGAGCTGTTACCTCTGACATTTTTCACAGCAGGTGTTTGGATCTGCCCCCCCTTCCCCCACTCCCCCACATTGTTTGTTTTAAAGCCCTTTCATACTCCAGGCCAGTTTTTTTCAGAAGGGTGCAGCAAATGCAGCCGTTACTGTTTTGCTTTTTTTTTGTTGCTGTTCGTTTGTTTTGGCTTTTTTTGTTGTTTGGTTTTGTTGTTATTGTTGTTGGTTGGTTGGTTGGTTGTTTTTTTTTTCAAAAGCACTGCTCCTCCTTGGACCATACTGTAAGGTGGCCAAGTATCTGTCATTGTGTCATCCATGAGTCTCTTTGAGGACAGCTGGTTCTCTGTTACCCACAACAATGGGAGCCAATGGGTGCTCGGTGCTTGGAAAATGGGACTATCCATTTTTGCGCCTGCTTTGTTTAGATCAGTTGGAAGAGCAGCATGGGGAGGATAGGGGTAGTTTGTGTAGCGGAGAATTTGCTGCAACAGAAAATGTGAACTGCTCAGTATGTGTGCATCACTGCAACACGACCTTCAGTTACCTGAGTTATTAAAGGAAGAGGGTAGGGCTGGCAGAAAATTGAATTGCTCATTAATTGCTTTGTAATTTAGTTAATTGGTTTTGCCAAGGCTGTGGAATATATGGGGAGTGGCTGATTATCTTTCAGTATTTAATTTTTACAAGTGAAAATGACCTAACCCCATTTTTTTTTAAATAAAACCAACATGTATGACGTATGCTGTGGAGGGATGTCAGACTTCTGAATATCTGCTTTCTTCAAACTTTGCATCTGGCCTGTGGCCTCAGACTGTTCCTGAGCCACTGGGACCCTTTCTGAAGTGTAGCAGACATTTCTGGCATTCCTTCTTCGGCAGTGCACACTCCCAAAGTAGGGCTTCCCAAAAACTCCTGTGTGAAAGGACCAGCTCAGGAGAACTGCAGTGTGCGAATCTGCAGAAGTGAGTTAAACTGAACGGTATTTTCTCTGCAGGGAGAGCAGAGTTACTCTGTTAGGAGAGGGCTGGGAAGGGAGGCCAGGATTTTTGCTTATGCATGCAGTAGATAAGCCCACGTTCTCTTTTTTTCTTTACAGGTAGTGGCCATGGAAGCAGCACTTTGCTCCCGCATACCATCATCAATGAATTTCCAGAGTATGGCACTGTAGAGTCAAGTGGAGACACACCAAGGCCTTCATCGCCACGCCTGGTAGAGCCTGTGACACGCAGTCCGGAACAACGGGATGGTCATCACAGGATACCTGGTGGGCCCCTTCCTCAGCATGTGACTCCTGCAGACAATTTGAGACCTGACACTGGGGCAGCGCAGCTGCATGCCCCAGAAGGAAGTTTGCAACCTGCGAGTAACCTACCAGAGATTATGAAAATCTCTCCACAGTTGGAAGCAACAAAGGTGCAAGAGACAGCAAATACTTCTCTCGATTCAGAGATGCAAATGGAAAAAAAGAGTGTTACTGGCAGCCAAAATGTGCAGGCAGCCAGAGAACCAGTTCCAGCAGGCCAAGGAGAACCCTCAGACATGCCTCTTCCATCTGAACGAACAGCTGAGGAAAAAATGCATTTGATCGTAGAGAAAGATCTGGCTGCAATATGGACTGGAGAAAAGCAGTCTGAGCCCATGCAAGCCATCAGTAATAAAGCCGAGGAGGTCCACGCAGCGCAGGAGACAAGCTGTCATAGACCATCTGTGACAAACCTGGAAGCAGCCAGCAGAGTGGAGGGGTGGGCGCATTTTGAGGAGTTTTCAGCGTACAGTCAAGGCAAAATGCAAATGGGTCCTGAGAGGAGGCTCTCTAAAGAGGCAGCTGTGAGCAAACATGTAGAATTTCAAGGGGTGGAGATTTTATGGCTGCAGAAAGCTGAGGAGCAGAGAAGAAAGAAGCACTTGCTGCTGGAGACTGTGTCTGTGGAGAGGAAGGCGTTCCCCAAAACATCCAGCCACCCTGCGCCACTGATGGTCCCCCCAGGCTTGGTCTCCTTTCTGGAGAGCACTTGGAGCGAGGTCTGTGAGGACCCAAGGCTGGGACCCACTACCTCTGGAGCCACTCCTCTATCGCGGCTCAGTGAAAGAGGGGAGGATGAAGTTTTTGTGACGGACAAGAAGAACTGTGGCGAGGAGGAGACAGCTGTACTAGCAAAAGGCCAGGGCAGGTGAGATGGTGCTTGGGGAGGGTGCAGGGGGCAGGCAGGGTTTCTGTCATCCCAAGCACGTGGCTTGTGCCTACGTTTTTAGGAGCTAATGGCAAACAGCAAACGTTAGTATGCTGCCTGTGGCATGGTGGCAGTTTGTGCCTGGTGGTGGCTAGGGCATGAAGTTGAGACTGAAACCTGTCCACACCACCTTGCTGAAGTTTGAAGTCTGTCTCAGGTTTATAAATGTAAAGATGTCTCTTGTTGTTTGCAGAGTAATGGCTGTGTGGCAAAGCATCTGTAGCAGGTGTAGTTAGGATCCAGACATGACATATAATTAAATATAAGCAGCATGCAGGCCTGGCCATATATGCCTGGCTAGATTTTTTTGTTTTGGGCAGAGTTAATGCAAGAATGGCATGAGCACCAGGGCCTTGTGTTTTAGAAGAGGCTAAATGCTGTGATGTGCTTTCTGCATTATGTACCTGTGTTTATATCATTTTAGCGATGTATATTGCAAAAATTGTGTGCTGCTTTTTACAAGAGCAGCCCGATTTGCTCACTTTTCTTTCCTGATGCACATCTGTGACAAAAAGCAAAGGGTCCCACTGGTGTGCTCTGAGCAAACCATGCCCGCTATGACTCTGAAACAACAGGATCTCAGCAAGGGAGGTGCCTTTGGCTCTGCGCCTTGGGGTCCGCGGAATTTTGCTTTGGCTAGCATGTGGGATTGCTTGGGTGAGCAGCCCTGATGCCTGTCATGTGCTGTGAGGAGCTGTGCACTGTTTGGTGCAGCAGAGAAAAAAACCCTTCACAGGAGGATGCTACACCTTCCCCAGTGCATCTGCAAGCAGGCTGAGCCTTCCCCCTTCAAATCTGGTTCTCCTGGATCCAGATTTTTAATTGCATTTGCTTCCCTTTGCATTTTGGAGGTGTTTCCTCCAGCCTTTTGCCGAAGACCTCAGCTGTAGCACTGCAGTGCCAGCAAACTGTCCTCCACAGGCAGAGGCCCAGTCCGGGTGCACATTGCCAACCTGTACAGCCTCTGGCACGGCAGTGGTGCTAGCGGTGACCTTATGCATTTGTGAGTGCTCTTCTTTGCACATAAGCAGCTGATGTTATCTGTTAGGCAATATTAGGCTTTCCCCCCATCCCCCTCTTTTACCCAGAAGATTGTTTCTTTTTATGTCACCAGAGAGGGAGATGGTGCCAGTCATGAACAGAGGTGGTGCAAGGAGAAACTAGCATTTTACCCACAGTGTCCTCTCCTGCATGAAGCCACACTGACCTTTCTGTTCACAAAGGTGGAAGGCAAGGAGGTTCACCCAGAGGTATAAACCTTGCCCTGGAGCTGAAATGAGCTGTTTCTGATTGATTTCCAGGATGATGGAGGAGGGAGAAGCAGCCACTGGAGGATATGAAGATGTCCTTGGGCAGAGGCACTCCGATGTCTCCACTGATTTGTACAGCTCACAGTTTGAAAACATCCTAGACAATGCATCTTTATACTACAGCGCTGAGTCGCTGGAGACGTTGTACTCAGAGCCAGATAGCTACTTCAGCTTTGAGATGCCACTCACTCCCATGATCCAGCAGCGCATGAAGGAGGGCAGCCAGTTTTTAGATCGGACGTCAGCCACAGGGCAGCCAGATGTCCTGCATCTTCCCCCCAATGGGGAGGTGAAGGGCTGCAGTGAAGGCATCGCCAATGGCTTCAGGGACATAAGCGAAACACTCTTCAGAGGAGACGTCACAGAAGTCCCCTGTTTGGAAAGGTAAAAGTAGTGGGTGAGCTTTCTGTGTACCTGCTGATTTTTCCCTGATGTCTGTTTACTTCAGTGGACTGTTGCAGAATGTAGTTTTGCCTCTTTCAACACTGCGTGTTTTCTACACAGAGTACTTTCCAGTGTAACAGAGTGAGCTGCAGGAGAGCTATCCAAACCTGCTGTTCAGTGAAAATTTACTTTACGAAGGTTTCATAGGGGATATTTGTAGTGATAAAAGGCTGCCTGGTATTGTTGCATCTCAGGGACCTGTCCCTGGAGGAGTTAGTTACTGGTGACAGATGAACCTTGTTCAGCTCCAGTTATACCTAAATTTGTTAGCAGCAACTTTAGTAACACCCTGTGCACATGAATGAGTTCTCCACATGCAGTTTGTGATTTGGATGTTAAAAGGTGTGTCTCTGGGCATGGCCTTTCCTCTCTTTAGGTCAGCATGAATTTTGCCTTTTACTTCAGCTGGGATGAGGTTTTGCCTCTGCCACATTCATGGAATTAGAGACTGTTAGCTGCTTCTTTCATTTGTGCGCTAGTTACTGATTGAAAGAGGAGGGAGTGTTGCAAAAATGTTAATAATTTCTGTTTAGGTAAAGGGAGAGATAAGCAAACCGATTAAGAGAAGAGTCATGTGAGAAGCAAGAACTAGGCTAAGTGGTCAGAAAATACTCTGTAATTGTAGGAATGCACTCCATGAGCAAACTTTCCTCATTGTATGTTGTCAGAGAGGGTGAGGAGAGTAAAAGGCAGCAACCAGCAAAATGGGGGGTTGATTGAGCCAAAAGCATTAATCTGCAGAGGGGTGAGGGACCTTGTGAGTGACAAAGATACCTCATGTCTCCATCCTCCAAGGACATTATGTTATCTACGAGTCCTTAGACTATTCCCTTAGATGGGAGTTGTCCAGTTTGGGCTTTCCTGGGAGTCTGGTGGGAGGGCTTTTATCCGTTCTTTTCCTTTTGTGCTAGTGTGAAAGAAGTCCTTTGAGCATAAGTAGTTTTCCTAAATTTATGGATTAAGGTACAGTTTGCCCTTAAAAGAACAGGCAGAAGGATTTAACAGTTCACAATGTTTTTTCCATCAATCCCACTGGACAAAAACATGTTTAAATCTTGTAGGACACTGGGCTGCTTGGTGCCAATAGGCAGTAAGTGGTTGCTAATCTGCTACAACCAGTATGCAGCTAGAAACTGAGGTCAGTCCTGACACCTGCAGCTCCTTACTTGTACTGAAACCAGAAATTGCTTTAAGACTGGGCAGTGGAGGGCAAGCAGCACACACAAGACCCTGATTCTGTCTAAAAAGTAATGACATGTAAGGCCCACATCAGCTCATCAAGACAGAAGTTATCACAAAGACAAGACATGCTTAGATAATACTTAGAGACACCTTAGGTGCTTGCCTAGTGTAGATTTCATTAGGAATTAAGTTAATTTTGGTTTAAATTTGCAGCCATAGTGATAAACCAACAGAGGATTTTTAAATTCTTATTTTTTCCCCCTTTCCACCAGCAGGTTTGTTAGGAAGCTCTGCTGTCGTAGTCTGCAGGGCTCTTCTAGGGACAAGCCCTGTTTAGGGACTCGCTCTGTTAAGGTAGGTGCGGATGAAGTGTGTAGCTGCCGCAGCACAGCCAGCCAGGGATATACCCAGCAGGGTCATCCTCCGGACAATAACCTTATTAACCTCCCCCCCACCCGTGATGCTCTAATATCACGTTGTGTTGGACCAGGCTACAGGTGACTGACAGGTCGTGTGTGCTATATTGTTGGAGCCAGTGATAAATCATGGTGTTGCAGCCTGTGGGTGAGGAGCACTGTGTGCATGCTGGGGGCTGCACGGGATTTATTCGCAGAGGGGTAAAGACGGTGTGTCACCGTGACGCTGAGGTAAACCAGAAATAGCCGCCTGCGCCGTGGGCGCTACCTCGAAGCGTGGCCGTAGTTGCCTGAGGCGATCCCAGGTTTGTTTTTCCAACCGAAAGCCCACGGGTGTGGTAGGTGTGCGGTAGCCGGCTGCGGCACCCCTGCGCCGCTGCAGAGCACCGCGGGGCGGCCGCGGAAGGGGCCCTGCTCTCCCGCAGGACGCGGCGGGGAAGGCAAGCCCACCGCCCTGCCAGGTCCCGGCCGCGGGCAGGGGGCCAGGGGCACCGGCTTTGCCTGCCATACAGCGCGGAGCCGCTGGAGGTCTCTGTGCCCGCTGCGGAGCTGCCGGCTGCCCCTGGAGCGCCCGCCCCTCGCCCGCCCCTCGCCCGCCCCTCGCCCGCCCCTCGCCCGCCCCTCGCCCGGCCGGGGGTGTGCGGTCGCTCTGCGGGGCGGAGCGCGGCTAGCGGACCCCGTCCTGCAGGGATGGGGGCAGGTGTGTGGGGTCTCGGCGTGTGGACGGTGGCAAGTGCCGACCGAAGCGGGGGAATTTGGGGCGCGGGGGGCTTGGGAGCGAAGCAATGCAACATTGCAGGGCGGCACAGCAAGAAGTGTAGCCTCCCCTCTTCCAGAAACCGCGCTGCCAACCCAGTCAAACAAAAACTGAAACCGAAACGTCAGCAGCTCTCTGTGCCCTAGTATTTCAGTGACATAAAAAAGGCGTGGGGAAGTGCATGAAGAAAGAGTCCACTTCCAAGTACCAGTGCTAATTTATGGGGGAACTAAGTGAAATACCGCCAGTTTTTCACAGCCCGGTACAGAAGGGGATGGTGGATGTGAGAGCAAGGAGTTAATGGAAATTGAAAGCCCTGTGCCAATTAGGAAAGGAGGAGCAGGCGCTACCCATAGCCATGCCCTCCCGATAGCAGGTAGCTGAGCACCACGGCACCTTTTGCATCTTTCTGAAGGGAACCTGAGCATAACTGACATACGGACCCTAGATGGCGTAAGGTTGTAATACGTAATAGCAAGGAAACCTAGTCTTGTAATGAATAAGCGGGAGGGTAACATCCTTCTCTGTTAGGAAATCGCTGGCTCTGGGAGGGGTCAGCTCTGGTATGTGAAGGCCAGTCACATGCCTTCAGAATTGAAAAAAAAAAAAAAAAAAAAAAAAAGGGAGGAAAAAAAATTATTAGAGGATTGCAGGCTGCAAGTTCCTGTGGGCTCCGGGGTGTCTGGATGTTTCGTCCCTGCTGTCCTCCCTGTCAGCTGCTGGCCGTGGTTAAGCACAGTAAGTCGTGGTGAGAGGAGGTGCTCGCTCTGACAGCCACCTGCCGTGCTTCCTTAGGGCAGGGGGATGTCAGCTGGTCCCTGGCTTTTCCTGCAGGACAGGTTGCCTTGCTTTTGCAAGTAGACCTTTGCTAGCACAGATTAGGTGCTCTTTGTGTCTGGCCAGTGGAGGAGGGGTGCTTGGGGGAGAAGGGCATGCAGCTTGCTTTCCTTTGGGAACCGTTCCAGCTCTTGCTGTCTTTTGGGGGGCTTAATCTCTTTCCTAGGTATGTAATGATCATTCCTCTGGGGAAAAAAGAATTTCTGCAGCTGAAGTAGCCTTAAGTTTCCCCAGGTGGTGGTGGGAGAACTGGGGGAGGAGCGAGAGTGTGAGTTTTCAGAGCTGAGGGCCAGCCTTGCCGTGTGTCGGGGTACCACGGGGTACCCATGAAATCTGCTGAGCCACAGGACACCGGTATAATGAAGCTTCGCAGTGGCAATAAAAATACTGCATTTGGGCTACGTTTGGTCCCCTTGCCTCCATGTTACCCCTGCAGAGGCATGCAGTCCCTGCCAGTGTGGGGGACCCATACGCCAGGTACTATGATCCTCCCTTCTCGTGCCAGTGCATTGTGTTGAAACAGAGCAAGGCTCAGCCTTGGTATATGGAAGTTTAGTCTTACTTGCAGGGTCAATAAGGAAGACTGTTTGCAAGGTGCTACCCAAACATCAAACCTGAGTTTGCATCATCTGAGCTTGGTGTAATGATTTACAGCAAATCAGAATGAGAGGAAGGGGTTGCATTTCCAAAGCAGTAAGGTATACCTGAGGGAAAAGTGAGTTGTCTTTGCTGCGCATCAGTGTGCCTAAACGTAAAATATGAAGTTCACTTGGTGATGATCTCCATCTTTCTTTTCTACTTTCAGACTTTAAAGACAGAATTTCTTTTAATTTTTCTTCTTTCTGCATTCTTTTATTAGACCTCCTATTCCCTCTTCCCTTGAATGCTACAGTCAGAAGAAGAAATTAAAAAAAAAAAAACCAAAACCCACCCTGAAAAAACTGAGTTGTCTTGGAGGGTGTGGATTCTGTTGGTAGGACATTGCCCAAGATTTTTCTATATCAGGAGAGAAAAGAATAATACCACCTGTATTGTAGCCCCTAATCCTCAAAAATGCTAAATATTTGCCACCTGCCATCATCTTCAAAGAACTGTTGGTGCTCAGCAAATTCTGCAAGTACTGTTATTTTTAAATTTTTTTCCTAGAGATGCAAAGACAGATACAGTCACATATGTATTCTTTTGTAATTCAAGGGAGGAAGAAAGCAAACTCCCTAAAGCATTATGGTGGTTTTCAGAATAAATGCATAAGAGTGTAAACTGCAGTACCCAATGGCTGCCAGGTTACTCTTAGTTTGGGCCTCTCACGGTAGTTCCCATAGCTGTTTTCTTTCTTCTGCTCATGGATCATTTCCAGCAGTTTCTTAGTTGGCACTCTGCTTATTCCTTCTTTGAGACTTGTTAGCAGATAAAGCCAGTTTTGATCCCTTTCTCCAGGTTGATTCTCTAAATCTCATCCCAGTTTAATCATTATCCTGCATGCTAGTTATACTTCTGGTTTTCAGTTCGCACTCTGGTATTTTTGTCCAAGGTATTATGTATTTGATTTTCAATGTAGGTATGAGACTCAGTATCTAAAACATTACCTTTATTCATTCATTAGTCTGTCCAACAGGAGTCTGGTATAAATTTTTTTCCCCTTTGAAGGCTTACTTTGCAATCTGGTTGAATTTTTTGTTTGATATGAAATCTGCTGAAGATACTCGTGTTCCTAAACAGAAGTTTTTTGGTCTTCAGACATGCCTCAG